CCTCCAAAACATCAGAGGTGGGATCAGGTGCCATGGAGGAGTGAACATCTCCTGCCGACCAGTCATACGCGCTCCCTGTCATGGTCGAAAAAAAAAAAACCCCGTAAAAATTCGTAGACGGTTCAGTGTATAATGATCCAACAATTAGTATGAAACACATAAAACACAACATTAAAAAATTACACCAGCACGATCCCCAGAGCATATTTGTCTTTCTTGGTCTAATTTGTATTTAATTTAAATATAATGTATATATATATATATATATATATATATATATATATATATATATATATATATATATATATATATATATATATATATATATATATATATAAGGTGTTCTTGTCCCACTCTTACTCATCTAAAATTTATAGGTCTATAAATTAATAGTTAGAATATTACAACGGTAAATTTGTAAGCGACATAAAAAAATCTTAATTGGCTATATTTTTGTAGAATGACTGTAATACAACATTGTAAAGGATCCATGTAATGGTAAATAATCATACAAGAACCAATAAATAAATAAATAAATAAATAAATAAATAAATAAATAAATAAATAAATAAAATTAGAACTTTAAAAAAAAGAAGAAAAGGTTTGAGGATCAACAAAATAGTACGTAGAAACTTGCCTATGTTAGTCAATACTATCTACACTTTATCACTATTACCAAAAATTGCTTTAGCAATAAATATGAAGATAATGAACAGTATTCAATCTCGAAAGTTCAATGAAACGATACAAATTTGGAGCAGAGCAAACATGGACCTCAACATTTAGAGGTGGGATCAGGTGCCATGTAGGAGTGAACATCCCCTGCCGACCGGTCACACTCGCTGTGTGCTCCTTGTCATGATCGGGAAATAACGGAAAAATCCGTCGACAATTCAGTGTGTTAATAATGGTCTAAAAATTAGTATGAAAAAAGTCAGACAGCATCTGACTCAATGATAAATTATATTTGCTGACAAGGTCATTGTATCGACCGTAGAACTTACGAAATGATGACTTTAAACGAGACTGCTGATATTCTTGTTTCATCAACTTGTTTGTCAATAATTTACCTCGTTTTAAAAATTGTACATAGGTAGAGCATGCTCTTGCGTATAGAATCAACTAAGAGATATAAACCCCGTATGAAGGTGATAAAGGTATATTGCTGCATAAGTAAGGGAAGTTGACAATTGAAAAGTTAAAGTCATCACGTTTATCATAAAGCTTGGTTGTTAGATTGCCATTAACGTCTTTTTCAAGTAAAATATCCAAATATGAAACAGATGTGTCAGACTCTGTGGTATCTTTTATCTCAAGCTCACCAGGATATATCGTATCGACATAAGAATTGTTAATTGACAATACGTCGTCGATATATCTAAATGTCAAGTTGAAGGTCACAGCAAGTGTTTTCTTCTTTTCAAGTATAAGATTCTGGACAAATTCTGCATCATATGAATACAAAAAAAGGTCTGCTAATAGCGGGACACAATTGGTACCCATGGGAATTCCAATAGATTGTTGGAAGACCTGGTCTCCAAAAACCACATAGATATTGTCAATCAGAAACTCAAGCACCTTTTTAATGTCAACTTCAGAGTCCTTGTGTGTACAATCAGAATGATTTCTAACAAAATAATTTTGCAAATGACCAATGACAAGGTAAGTAAATTCACAAGTTCCATTTTTATTGAAAAAGCAGCTGTCAATGATATCAAATAGCCTGGACTTTAATTTATCGTGGGGAATAGTTGTGTATAAAGTTGAAAAGTCGTAAGTTTTTAAGCTGTTGATTTTTCAAAAGTTCCTTGGAATTTTTAAGTATCCACATCTGATTTACACCACTGCTTGAAGTGAATATTAAGAAAATTTGGAATTTCTTATTATAATTTCACGTAATATTAATGTTGTCTTTCGATGTCAGATCTTTGAGCAATCAATTGATTTTTTTGTTTTAGATTCTTCCCATTTAATAGCCAAATTGATTTTTCTCCTTTCGTTTTTCGCTGGCTCAACATACCCAAATGAACATGGAATAAAAGACAGCACAAAGTTTGGCATTTAAGTCTCATTGTTTGACTACTTTGCTAGATGTAGACAATCAACTTAATTTTATTGAAAAAGGGAATGACCAACTTTCCTATCGTCAACTTTCCTAGTTTATGTTGCAACAATTATTGTCAGCTGCATTGTGTTTTTTCTCTCCAAGTTGATTCGATACGCAAGGGATGTTGTGATGTTCAATCAAAAGCCAATATTTCGCAAATTTTATGTTCGTTACATTGACAGAGCTTTCAAATGAAACGAAATGTCTTGAGGTGGAAATTTATTTAAAGTTTTACATACAAATGTTATATTACCGTCACGGTAGCTCAGTCGGTAGAGCGCTCGCCCCGTGATCGGAAAGTCGTGTGTTCGAATCACGGCCGTGACTGACTTAAGTCGATAAAAAAAGGTGGCAACTGTTCCTTCGCCAAGCGCTCGGCATTTTGAAGTGAAAGTTGCGGGGCCTTCGGATGAGACCTTAAAAATCGAGGCCCCGTGTCACGGTAGGTGTTGGCACGATAAAGATCCCTCACTGCTCAATGGCCCTGAGTGCCGAGTAAAGGTCTAAATTTGAAGCCCTTCACCGGTATATGGTGACGTTTCTATATGAGTGAAAAATTCTCGAACGGGACGTAAAACAACATATAATCAATCAATCAATAATATTTTACGGGAATAAAGCATGGCGTGTGACTGGTTCGCGACAATAAATACACAATCAGCGAGGTTGAGTTGCGGCCGAATCTCTCGCACGTGTTGGTAAGCAATAAGAATTTATTTAAATATTACATGTACTCTCTTTTCCTAAAAAAAAAAATTCAAAATGAACACTGAGTATAGCACAAATTCCAACCTTTATTTATTTCTAGCAGTAAAGATATATTTTGAACAACAAATAACGTAGTACTTAATATGTATATGCTCTGTTTATTCTTAGGTGGGGAATGCAGGGAATTCTTTGAATTCAGCTAAGTCAATAGCTGAGATTTTAATTTTTAAGCAGCTTTAACATCTTGTTTTAAGTAATTTTCTTTGAAATTTATTCACGTTTATTTACTCCACAAAAAATAGTATTTAAGAGTAAAAAGTTTCTGATGAATTCCGTATTCTACTCTAGGAAACCTCCATTCAGTTTTTATTTTAAATGATCGAAAATATTTAATGTGTCCGCTGCTGAGAACGACGAGGCGTTCAATTGAATGTTACAAATATTTCGTTTTAAATAACGTGTACTAGTTTTTCTCTTCTAATAACGTATTCAGATATAGATCTTTGAAAGGCTCAGATATTAATTATTTCAAAGACCTATAAATACGTATACCACAGTGGAAGTCATTTTCCATGCAAAACGTCTTTTTGCATTTCTACACAGTCAGAATTGACTGGTACATGCATATGTATATCAAATGAACACCTTTATCTGCTCTTTAATATAATCGTAAATTGATTATGATGTTGATAAGATAAATGTCTATTCCCAGTTATTTAATTTCAAATCCTGTGTTCATATATTGGTACATTGTAATCCGATGGTCATTTCTATCGCCTTTTGACGTGACGTTACATTACAAAAAATGACGTTCCTATTGTATTTTTCCGTCAAAACACTGCCATACCCCAAGATCTTCTGAAAAAGTATATTAGATATAAAAAGAAGAGTTATGAAAAGCTAAAAGTCTACACAATCTTTAATTAAAACTTCGTTAATTTTTGAGATGAGGCCATTTTTGATGTTTCGTGGATTTAGCTCTTTACCAAGCAATCAATACAATCATATTATGAAAGATATTTCATAAAATAACTATTGAACAAATAATCTATATTTTCACAAAACTTGAGAATTGCTAACAGTAAGGTTTTAATTTTGTCAAGTAAATAGCAACAAGAACATATTTTAACCCTTATTCTGGGTCACAATTAATGTCAGGGGACGACAGGGAGTGGAAAGGGAGGCCAGGGACTTGGTCAGGGGACATCAAGGAGTTGACAGGGACATCAGAAAATGTCAGGGGAGATCAGAGATTAGATAGTGGTAACAAAGGCAAAGTCAGGGGACGTCAGAGAGTAGACAGGCTAGGGACAACGACAGGGGATCATAGGAGGAAGTCAGGGGGAGACAGGAAAATGTCAAAGACAGACAAGGGAACGTCAGGGTTTTTTTTGGAATCTAAGGGGAAAATCATTATAGTAGTGTATGTGGGTGTATGTTTTGTAAAGTTTTGAAGCTATATACTGATTATGAAAAGCAAACCAATCAAACTAAAGAGGTTAATGGTTAAAAGTTGGAATAATCCTAGAGAGATTTCTCTTTATTATTGGATTTAAAAATAGAAACTTACGAAATTGTAACAATTGGAATAGTTTATTCATATTAATCATTTTTTAAGTCGTTATTCTTGCTAATTTTTAAGATTTATGCGATTTAAAGTGCACGAGATTTGAAGCAAAAGTAAACAAAAGGGACCGCAACATCCTGCGAGACTTCGAACATTTGCGAATCTCTGTAACACTGTATCTATGTTTCTGATTAACATCAATCAATTATAAAAGGCACCTTTTATTAATTCAGAGTCGAGGCTTGACTCTTCATATATAAGGAAGAAAAATGTGATTACCTGCTTTTAAAAAAAAATGTTCAGTGAACATAAAAATACGATCAAGTGAGGTACATTCCATAAAATGTTCTGTAACAATTAAAATGAATTATGGAACATCTTTAATGGGCTCAAATTATTGTTTTAAAATATTTAATAAAGGACTATATTCAGTAATGACCAATATATGCCCCCCAAATCAAACTTTTACGGAGAAATATATAATTATAATCTAAAACAGGGGGATATCTGCAGACTTCAAAGCAATGAATATTTTCATAATCCATGACACCATATGTTAGATATGACGTCAAAAAATGACGTAAATTCAAAATTTCCATGAATTATACAGAAAAAGGTGTATATTACGTCAATATTTTGAGTAAAAGTCACGGAGCGAAGGTCTGCTCCAACTAATTATTTTGATATAATGTGTAGAATGATATTATCAATGAAATGTGTAAATATTGTTCTGGAGCAGGCCCGCGCTCTATAAATTTTATAGTAAAAATTGAACAAATTTTGTCCATTTTTTCCTCTTTCTGAAAAACAACACAAAATCCGAATAGTTTGTGACGTCATAGAAACAAAAATTGCTAAAAACCTACTTCGAAACTACAATATTTTTTGTTAATTTAGATTTCCCAAGCAATATATACAATTCAGCACATTTCAAGATATTTTCAAAATATGACTTTTGTGGGTGCAAAAATATGCATGTACCGCATGTACATATAGTTCTTTTACAATTCATTCATATGTTTCATATTGTTTGCAATCAATATATTTCATCTTTTCTTTGAATGTTTTAAAGGAAAAATTCTTGAATTTTACCTTACTTTGAGAATAACTTAAATGTTGGATGATAATGAAAATGCAGCAAAACAAAATATGTTCAAAACAGTTCAAATGAGGTACCATAAGTAATCAAATTAAGAATATGCATGTACAATATCTGTTTCTTGAGAGTATTTAAAAAGGTCCATTTTCTAAATAGTTAATTGTGATTAAACCATATGATTGCGATTTAACTAGTTTTTGATTTACAATGAGGAAGGAACCTTGTTTTAGAATAGAAATGTATTAACTTTATAAACGACTTTAGCACTATACTTGTATTCTATTTTCTCTTTTTGTTTTGAAATCAAATTTTTGCCATTTATACAATACACTTTGAGACAGATTACATTAGTTTACAGCATGATTTGTCACCAAGGTTCAGTGACTAGAAAGAATAATGATCACCTTTAATTTGCACACTACGATAATCGCAATTTAGAATACTTTTTTGGTTTGTGAAAAGAACATTTAATATTTCTGATCAATTAATCAGTTTCTATTAAAATCATTAATTCTGTTTAAAACTCCTGCATACTGTTCCTTCGATTTCCTTATTTGGAATGTAAAATAAATTGGTTGTGTTTTCGAATGTGTCATTCAAATTTTCTTTCCTTCTCTTTCGCTGCACCTTCAGACAACATCAAGCAAATCTGAAATTTTAAAGGTATTATGAATGCAACTTGTTCACTCGTCTGAACTAGGAGTTTTGATGAGAAAAATGTTTTACCTTTTCGTGTGGAGCGACACTCGAGTAATCAGTAGACGCCGTGTTCTCAGTCAACAAGGAGTCTGACTTTATTTGTTTTTTAGCTTTTGCTGTCCTTTTGCTTGAGGATGTTCCAAAGATGGAAAGTATCCCTTTTTGCTAAGAGAAAAAAATGATCTGAATTTTAAAAAATGGCCCTTAAATAAGTTGTCAAAATAGAGATGAAGCAAAAGCCACTGTATGACATGGTATTGTCACAGTTTCATGTCGATGATTATTATCGTGAAGTTTTTAAAAACCTATGACTTTGCACTTAATCTTAATTTGACAAGTTTTACCTTGGGTTTCACTATAGGACGATCAGATATGTCAGAACTCGTTTCCTTTCTACTGGACTCGGCAAGCATACTAAGTCCACTCAGGGAAGGATACTGAGTCTTTATACCTTGGATTAGCTGATTACAAAATAAAAATATAGCACTAATTAAAGACAATGACATAAGGGATTAAGTTATGCTAAGCTTACTAAACTTTTCCCACATTCCTCACTTTTTATGACGACTTCCGGGCCTCTTGACTTCAAATGTAAACGATTATCAAGTCAGAATCAAGTGGTTTAAATTGCATCATTTGTTCAAAATCTTGTACATAAAAAGAAGAAAACACTTGCTGTGGCCTTCAACTCGACATTTAGATGTATCGACGACGTACTGTCAATTAACAATGATTATTTCCATTCGTATGTCGATATGATGTATCCCAGTGAGCTTGAAATAAAAGACACCTCAGAGTCTGACACATCTGTTTCATATTTGGATATTTTACTCGAAAAAGACGTTAATGATAATCTAACAACTAAGCTTTATGATAAACGTGATGACCTTAACTTTCCAATCGTGAACTTCCCTTACTTATGCAGCAATATACCTTCATCAACTGCATATAGAGTTTATATCTCTCAGTTGATTCGATACGCAAGGGCATGTGAACAATTTCTAAAACGAGGTAAGTTATTGACAAACAAGTTGATGAAACAAGAACATCAGCTGTCTCGTTTAGAGTCGTCATTTCGTAAGTTCTATGGCCGATACAATGACCTTGTCGGCAAATACAATTTATCATTGAGTCAAATGCTGACTGACGTTTTTCATACTAATTGTTAGGCCATTATTTACACACTGAATTGTCGACGGATTTTTCCGTTATTTCCCGATCATGACAAGGAGCACACGGCGGTTGTGACCGGTCGGCAGGGGATGCTCACTCCTCCATGGCACCTGTTCCCACCTCTGATGTTTTAAAGATCTATGTTTGCTCTGCTCCAAAATTTGTCTTGTTTAATGGACTTTTGAGCTTGAATACTGTTCGTTATCTCCATACATTTCACTGAGTGTTCGCGATCTCATTGTGAATTTAAATGTAATGAAAGAGATATTATTTTGCACTCAAATAATTCTACTTGTTCAGAACTGAGGAATATTAAAAAAGGCATTTATCAAGATATACTATAATTCTCTTGAAAAAAAAAATGGTGGCTTAAACTTTACATTGCAAAGGTTGTGGTATCCCATTTGCTTTAAATTCAAAGGTCTTTATTTTACACTAAATCCATTTAACGTTGACTTTTTCCTTTCTCTAACCAAGATATAAAAATTATGCATGACTTTTTTAATGACAGCAATGCTATTACCCTGCATCTGTATACCCATTGACTTGATATGTCTAACATTTAAAGTGGCCATACTACCTCATTACAATGTATACATGATAGGGATTCTCCATTTTGCTCTAAATTAGGAATTAATATCAAATTGAATCGTTGTATTAGCAGCACGCTATTATAAAATGCTTCTTTTCTTTTCTTATGAGGTATGAGTTTTATATACAGAGATGAAATTTTTGACGTATTGTTCCCTTAATTTTATATTTATTCTACGTATAATGATCATTGTATTTTTCGTATTTTTTGTGAGTCTAAAATTTACAATCTACAAAACCCTGCAAATATAGAGCTTTTATATACGTCATTTAGAAATGTTGTTCAGATTCAAATTCAATAGTAATGTCACAGCCGTTCTTGTATATATAAGTAACCTATTTGTTAAAATAATAGGTTACACAGCTGATGAGTTGGATTATTTATCTATGGTGTAATCCATGTTAAAACGTTGAATTTTAAACAATAATGCCGGCAATGTAAATGACTATACACTCACACCTCTAGACACACAAATCAATTATTAGGATTGACAAACAAGTTAATGAACCAAAGATATCAACAGTTTCGTTTGAAGTCATTATTTTTGCATGTTTTATCGTCGATACAATGACCTTGTCACCAAATAAAATCTATTATTGATTCAAATGAAGACTTACATTTTCCATACTAATTGTTAGGCCATTATGTAAACACTTAATTCTTTACGGATTTTTCCGTTTTTCCCGATCATGTCAAGGAGCACATTGCGGGTGTGACCGGTCGGCAGGGGATGCTAGCTCCTCTATGGCACCTGATCCCACCACTAATGTTTTGGAGGTCCGTGTTTGCTCTGCTCCCGATGTGTATTGTTTAAGGGACTTTGAGCTTGAGTACTATTCGTTATCTCCATATTTTATTTAAAATATTTGATTTGAATGTCTCTTACCAAGTCATTATTTTATAACATTAAATTATTTAAGCAATCTTTGTAAAATAATTTGCCGATTAGAGAGTTTTTGTCCTGATTTTAAAATGATCGCACTATGTGTAAAAAGTATTAATTCATCTTATCTGGCTGTAACAAAGGTGGACTGGGTTAGTAAGGGTGTCTTGTGCCAAGCATGTGACCAAATATCAAATATCAAACCGGTAAATCAATTCAAACGTGCACACTTTTCACTCTAATATACAATATAACTTCCAATCATACAACTCCAAAATACACCAACATTTGACTTTTCACACTCTCAATTCAACCAATAAGCATTCAACCGCATGAATATGAATGAACTATTTGAGAAATAGACATAGTAAATTCTATAACTACCTATGATTTTAGGTAAAGTTATGATTTTAATAGTTAAATGATGATGAGATGTGCATTAAATCATTTAATCTTAAGACATATAAATAATATTTATTATCATACGATAATTATTCAACCTGTGACAATAATATGGAAAAGAAAGAAAAATGCCTTAATATAAAAATTAACGAAAAAAAATCAATTTAAAAAAATATGTTTACTGTGTAAACTTTAATCACCAATTTAGCCCCATACCATCCCTAGGGTCAATAATTTCAAGAATGGAAGAGTCTTGAATCCACATATCAAGGAAATTTAATGATTACTCATAATTTTTCAAATTTAACCTATTTTCTAGTGTAATAATTTGATTCTCTAGCGTAGCCCGACTCTAGCACAAAGAGCAACGTTTCAATGAAATTGAATCTTCGGTTCATTTGGAATTTTTGCATAATAATCATAATAAATATTACGTTGACTTCTATTGTTTTTGAAGAAAAGTTTTTAGAAATGTTTTTCTTATATATTCTATACTTGTTCCCTTTCTGTGGTCCATCCAAGCCCTAGAAAAGTAAATAGTGAAGCCTCCTTGTGGTTCCACCCTTGCTACGAGGGTTATGTTTTTTGACAAATATAATTTTGCAATATATGCTTTCATATAAATTTGCCCCAAGGACTATGTTTCTGACAAATATGAATTATATAAAAAAATTCGGCTTATCATCGCCCTTATGTATATGAGCATACTTTTAAAAAAAAAATCTATCTTTATTCTAAACTAAAACTTTGACTCCCTTTATGGCTCAGCATAAGCCTTGGTGTGAACAAATTGAAATGCATACTATGTAAATTAGGCTCATTTTTATTTTTATTTACTGAATGAGTGGTTTTTGAGAAGATTTTTAAACTACTCCATCCTTTTTTGCTATTACCGAATTATTTCCATTAATGGGTTTATTTGAACAAATTTGAATTTGCATTACCAAACAAAAATGCTTTGTGACAGGTTTGGTTAAAATGGGTCTACTGATTCGTGACAAGAAATCAAAATTCTGAAATAATCAATTGACGATAGATGGACGACTGACAACGGACAATGGATAAAAAGCGTCAAAAAGTTCACTTGAGTCTTTAAAAAAGCCTACAAATAAAAGAGAAGAAAACAGACATAGAGCTTACCTTTTTGTTCAGCACTACATGTGAGACAAATATGAAAAGTCCCTGAAATGGTAATTTATGGTTTACGTTTTAAAAAATACAATGGCTTTGCTGTGGATGTTTAAGATCTAATTAATATCATCAATCAAACAAGAGCAGGAAATTAAAATTGTCAGAGCGTATTGAATTGAAAACATGGAGAATGAAACATCTTTTTTTTAAAAGTGGAAAAGAAACATATTATTCGAACTTTCTAGAGAGAGGAAAATTATACACATTTACAACTGACACTATTTCTGACAAAGATCATACCTGTAAGGAATTGGTGATGATAAAAATGAACTGGAATACTTCTGCACTTTCGTTTACAGCTAAGACTCCAAATATCCAGGTAACTCCTAATACCGGTACAAGTGTACCGAGAGACCGTAATCCGGACCTGGTATTACCATACATATAATTAAATTAGAATAGCAATTTCATTTATGAGCTCGAGTCTTTGAACAAAAATGAAACTCTATTTGTCATTTATTTTATTTTGCTCTTTGCATGATTTCTTTATGGTTATGTTTTTCAATACTTTAGTAAATTTGTGTTCACAAAAACAACCATACCCTTGGTCGTATTTTTGTCCCCCGCTTTAAGTAAACGTGGGGGATATTAATTTGGGTCCATCTGTCCGTTCGTCCATCCGTCCATCAGCCTGTATAGCTGTCTGTTTGTCTGTCTAGTACTTATGTAACACTTTCATTTCCAGATGACATCTGAGGAAGCGTTTGCAATGAAATTTTACCATACTACTCCCTTTGGCCTAAAGAAGATCCCTATTGATTTTGAGGTCTAAAAGTGTTAGGTCAAGGTTATAAATTAATACTTTCTGTTTTTGTGTAAAACGTTCATTTCCAGACGATATATCAAAAAACCTTTGAGCTTTTGCAATGAAATTTTATGTCATAACTCACTATGACCAAATACGAGGGCTGTTCGGAAATTATTGAGAGATTTTGTATATTTTTCTTTCTAATGAACGTCTTTCGGTGAAAATTTGCATATACGTTTGACAAACATTAAAAATTCATAAAAGCAAGAAATATTTTACAAATATCAAATTTCTTCTCTTCAATGGTATATATATGTTTCAATGGTAGGGGTACCCGGCGCAGTCACGAAATCAGATATTGAAAATATGTAACACTAATGTTCAACACCCCGATGGACCCATTATAAGAGCGAAAATAATTCAATTAATGTATATAATTTTTTAATTTTATTTTGACTTCATATTGTGCAAGTTTGTTAGAATACCGATCAGAAATACGGAGATCATTAAAAAAAATTAAGCGCGGTAAAGAAATCTGATAACGACGACAAAATGGATTTTGACGTCAAGGCGGAGCAGCGAGAGACCTAAAATTTTGTGTAGCGCTATGTAAAACTCCTTTCCAGACTAACCAACCTACTAAAGCAATAACAACGAGAAAAAAAAAACATGTCTAAGGGTTTGTTACATGTATTTCATTGGTATATATTTATTTTTTTCTAACCTATAATTCAACTACAGTAAAATCAAAAACCGCGGACGACCATCAATTTTTACCGTAACGGAATTAATAACGTTGACCCGCGTTGCATAAATTGGCACTACATGATGCTAAGTCATCCTGTATAAATGACACATGAAAAATTTACAATAGTGAAGCAACAGCACACATTTTTTAAAGAATCGTTTAAGAAAAAAAAACAGTTTGATTTTTGTAGGGTATATAATTATGATAACAAATGAGAAGAATAAACGCTTCCCGAATGCAAAATCATCGACGACTGACGTGACGTTAAAATGGCATAGCGATGCTGCTCCAGGTCGATAAACATATGCATGTTTATTATTTTACCGGAACTTATCTAATTATCCTTTAAATTAGAAATTTTGTATAATTGTTTTATTCGTTCTTTATAAAATGTTGACGAATTTTCCTGAAATTATCTCTGACCTTTATGGAGTTAAAGTAATTGTCTCAATAATTTTCGAACAACCCTCGTACAGACCCCCTATTGATTTTGAAGTCAAAATGTCAAAGGTCTAGATCAGAAATTCATACATTAAAAATAATATTTTTCAGAAAAAAATATTTGTTTTCATTCAGCAATCTTCAATAAAAATAAATATCTCAACTCACTATAACCTAAAAAAGAATCAAGTTGATTTTGAGGTCAAAAGGTTAGAGTTCAAGGTTAAAATTCATACATTTTCTCTGTGTAACACTTTTTTCCAATCTATATCTTAAGCTTTTGATATTTTGCAATAAAATTTTATATCACAACTCCCCATTGCCTTTAAATCCATATTGATTTTGAGGTGTGAAAAGGTCAATGGTCAAGGTCAGAAATATATATTGCATATATAGTTTTCAATTGATTATTTTAGTTCTTTGTTGCTGAAAGGTCAAAATTGAACTTTTTTCCTTTCCCTATCTCCATAATTTTTCCAGTTCTTCAACCCTCTTCCTTTTTCCTTGAGCTGTGTACACAGATTCTCTGAATTAGCTTCTTAACTGGATATTTCATTCCAGATATTAGGTATATTTATACTAAATTTAGCTAGGGAATACTTTGATTATCTTACATATATCAATACAGAGAGATCGCGGTATTTGTCGCAGGGGATGCTTACTCCTCTTAGGCATCTGGGCCCTGTTTTACAAAAGAATTTATATGTGCGGCTAATTTAAAAAGTAACACATAATTCTAAAATATCGCTAACTTTATAATTTTGAGAGTTTATATACATATCAATTACACGCGAGGAGGGCAAAAACAAGGACCTCTGGAAACTAGGTTTGGGTCATATTTTTCAAGAGAAAGTACGTCAAAAACAAAATTCTACTATTGTAATCTTTTTTTTTTATTTTTCGCTAATCAAATTATGATTTTCATGAAAATATGCTGTGTTCGACTTGTGTACATAATTTACGAGAGTGGTCACAATTCGTTCGCCATCTTCATCTTTTGAATTTTGGTTAAGACACGTTAAAAATGATATTCAAAATAAAAAGAATGCATTTATTCTATAATAAAATCCTAACATATCAATTAAGCTAACATACTTACGCAGCCTTTTTATGAAGAGGTGACTTGATCATTGTAGATGTTGCAAACAACACACGCATCAAGGAAACAATTATAAGTATATCTATCTGAAGTAAAAAATTGAAGGTCAGGTTGTTAAATATGCAAAGAGGTTCTTAGAGCAGATAGAAATATGTTACATTCTAAAATGCCTTCAACATTGCAGATTCAAAAAAAAACTTTTTAAGATATACTATCTGAATAGAAAGCAAACGAAATTTTGACACAAAGCTCAATTTTTTTTTTTTTTTTTTTTTTTTTTTTTTTTAGGTTTCTAATTTTTTTTTTTCCGGTGTGGTATTTCCTGCACAATGAGCGAATCCCAGTAGAACTGATATTCATATTTTCCACTTACATAATTAGAGGAAGTATTGCAAATTTATTAATCAGTGAAATAGCATAAAATCAAATTACGTTATTCTATTGCTCTAATGAGATTTTTAAAAATATCTCAATATACATTCAGAATCCTGACCATAATGTTTTCTTTTTGGAAGTTTTTACATACCACAGCAATGACGCACACTGGGACAATAAACAGATAAAGGGAACCACTTTCCATTGAAAGCCAGCAGCTAGGAAAAAAATACTTGTCTCTGCATCAATTTACGCCATACAACGTCCACATATCAATGTAGTATTAAGTTAAGTTTTGATTAAGTTTTTTTAATGCATACTATATAAAGCTATATTCATGTATAGGCGACTTAATAATTATGAATTCAATTGTAATACAATATTATATTTAGAAGTGGCCTTATTCTGTAATATTTATTAAAAAACTATGAATCTTTATGTTTACATTGAAAAGAACCTGACTGTAAACAAAAGAGATGTATGGTCGTGTCTCCAGGTTTTGTCAACATTTGCCCTATTTCCATTTTCATCTTTTACATTGTACGAAGTGACAATTATGATTTTACATGCAACATACTAATTTTTAGTGTGATAGTTGTTTCCCCAGAATGCTCCTAATGTTGAAACCGCAATGATTAATGGAACACCTGAAACGAAATTGTTTATTTACTTATTAAGCTTCCCAGAATTATTTCCCTCAGATGTGTACAGTACAGGCAAACTAAGAGATGACTGGCTTACAATGACTAGAATATCAAAATCATAGGGGAAACTGTTCTTGGTTTCCTGACCCTCATTCATACATAGCAATTTTGATTCTGTGGTAGTTTTAACTCACCCCATCCTCCCAAAAGAAACCAGTGCACTCTGGATTTCGACTTGAAATTGTTCGCCACATGCATCGCGTAAAAGGTCACGGTGATACTCATAAAATAGTAGACACCCATCCCCACCATACAGAAAAAGGTTACCAGGAAAAGATAATGGATGATGGCGGTTATTGCGATGCACAAGACCTTAAAGAATACAGAAAGTTTAATATCAAAACATTTCATTTACAAGCTAGGTGTTAACATTATAATAATATATAATTTTAAGTACGCTTTATAGTTTTTCCCATCGCGTTGAACACACCAATTTGTACATGGACTAATGGCTGACAAAATAGAAAATAATGATTCTACCTCATTGTTTGTTTCTTCTACAGCAGAGATAAATACAACATAGGATAAAACCAAAGATCCACAGAGATTTATAAACATGATATTTTGGTCACTCTTTATATGTCTGAAAAATAATATTTTTATTCATTATAAGAAATTATTTGCAATTTTTTTTATTTTCAGTGGAAAAAAATCAAATTAATATTTTGAAAACACATACTTCCACGTCATGATGTAAATTATTAAGGTTAAAACTGTAAAAATAATGGACACGATTACACCGACGAGAGATAACGTCTTCAGTGAGGTTTTGTCTTCCTTTTCCTAAAACAAAGTAAGTTAGTTAATCAATAAAATGCTTTCTTTGGTTGTTAGTACGGGAAGTAATGTTGTAGCTGTTGCAGAAAATATACATAATCCGCGTAAGGGGGTTATATAATTTTTTTCTACAATAGCTGCAACGTTAATCCCTTTACTAACAAAGAAAGACATTTATTGTTTATATTTATATCTGTATAAATAAATATACTGTATAAGGTAAAACAAAGTGCATTAAACACTGTATTATTGTTATGAATGTCATTGTATGTTTCATTGATGGAAGAGCCGCTGCTCAAGAAATATTTCCAGTTGCACGTGGCCTACTTAGTGGCGTTTACTGATTGATAAACGTCAATGGTTTTCATAAAAAATAAAGGAGATAATACTCATTGGATGTAAATATTGCAAAGAATGTGTTAATTTGCATGGTATTCTGCGTGAAACTATCTCAATTTTGTTGGAAAAGAGCCTCATGATCTGATAATCTTGCAGAAATTAAATTTTCGCAGCTTCATCAAATCACAAGCAAAAAGAAAGTCATTTTCACCAAGCATTCATGTATAAATCATAAAGCATATTAAGAAATTTTATTATGAAACTTCACATGAGAGAGGTTTGTATAATTATAATGCTAAAAATTTTCTCACTGATGTATACGGTCTCATCAGAATGGCAAAGTTAGTTAGATGGTTACACTGACAAACTGTCCTCTTGTTGTTGGTGGAATTTACTCTGCAGCCTTTGGATGACCACTTGCTGAGGTGAAAAAGTATTTAAATCTTAAAAACAAATAATTCTTTACCCAACCTTTTATTATTTTTGATGGCTTGTTTGCCGTCTGTCAAACGAGGGAAGTATAATTTCTATACTTGGTAACTACAAAATCAATTCACGGTCATAACGAGTTATTTTTAATTTGTAGTATAAGAACTCGATCAGTAGAACAACAGAGTCTTTAAAAGTAGTCTCTCGTTTGTAAACAAAAAATAAAGGCAAACGACGAAAATAAGTCTCTGATATGGACAAGGTAGAAAACAATGTGTGTTTGTGAAACACTGATGCCCCCGCATGACAGCTCAAGGGTAAGATTAAAGTTTTTAAAAGTAGGTCAAACTCCAAGGTCTATATCAAGAAATTAAAATGTTGATACCCCCCCCCCCCAAAAAAAAAGGTCATGTCACACTCGTGTAAAAAATAAGAGCCCTGGCATCAACAATTAAGATGGCTAAGGATAAAATTATTAAAAAAGTTGAACTTCAAGTCAAGGTCAGGAGGCTACCGCAATAAAGTTGTTTTGCAAAGAAAGACCTTGTCAGAAGAAGTCACATGTGAAGTATAAAAGCCCTATCAGCAACCGTTCAGATCTTATGGCCAAGGTAATTTTTTTCAAAAGAAGGTCAAACTCTTAGATCGAGGTCATAAAGTCTAAGAACGGTACTGTCAGAAGAAATTCACTTGTGAAAATTTTAAGCCAACAGTTTAAAGGTCAGATTGTATGGCTAAGGTTAAAGTTAGGTTATTGTTTTTATAAAAAAGGTTAAACTCAGAAGTCAAGTTCATGAAGTAAAAATGTTGGTATCAAATTAAAGGTCATGCCACGAGGTATACAAGTTTAAATTATGAAAGCAATAGTTCTAACCGTTCAAAGATTATGGCCAATGTTAAAGTTTTTGAAGACAAACAGACAGACAAACCCCGAATCCCGATTACAATGGAATAAAAAGAAACAACTGATTAATTAAGGATACAAGTACTTAAGTTCTTCTTTTTAAAAATTCAAATTAAAAACAAGTGTTATCTGACTAAGGCTTTTTATCTGAGTAGGCCACATGAATGGTACATGTCATCGGTGGGGTAAATTAGTAAAATAGTCATGTATATTGACCAGATACGGGCTAATACAAGGTTTTTGTTTCCCAATCATGACAAGGAGCACACGGCAGGTGTGACCGGTCGGCAGAGGATGCTCACTCCTCCATGACAACTGATCCCACCTCTAAATTTTGAGGTCCATGTTTGCTCTGCTTCAAATTTGTATCATTTCATTGGACTTTCGAGATTGAATACTGCTCGTTATCTTCATATTTCATACCAAGATCTACAAATCTATATGGTATTTCAGAAGATTGTTGTGTAAGAAGGGAGGGGTGAAATAACAATATGTGTTTTCTTGTATGCGCATTTGTAAAAAAGAATTAATAAAAAAAAAATAAACAGAACAAGCTAGATTTGTCAGCAATTCGAATTAGTATTGTTATTTCAGGGTGTAACATTTAAGATAATAAATTCGTCAATTTCGGTTCTTATCAATTCAGTTTATTTTTCGTAATTACCGTCAATGAAAAACTCTCGTGAGTTTATATAATTAAAAAATCCTTTTTTTAGGAAATTCATTCCCTTTTTTTGTTTTGTGTCATTTACTTAAATAAATGACATTTTTTCACTTTCAGTACTGTTGTTATTTTCTTCTATCCATCAAAAAACTAGCTCAGTTGACTTGGCTTCAGACTTGCAACAATAACAAAGGAACATAAAGATTTTTCCTGCATTTTCTTGTATTTCTAACACAGATAAAAAGGTTTACTTACTTTAGAGTAAAATTCCATGATACACAAACTGCTTGATGTTTATTGCTTTTGTTCTAGGAATAATAAAAGTTTGATAAATTGATATAATTTGTTTTAAATTATTTAAATGCATTTGGAAATTGAATATGTTTCATTCAATTAGTTTTGAGAATGAAATAGTGAATATAGAATGAAAATGCAAAATGAAATAAGAACATTTTTAGCAATATATTTTAGAACTTTCGGTAAACATATCAGTAAACTGCGCCACGAAGAGCTACAGAACTGAAGGCGATGTATGTCGTCTTACCTGGAAGAGATGATTAAAAGTCAGATTTAGAGGCGGGAAAAGATCACCCAAATCAATATGTGTAGTCAGTGACAAAATTTCAGAATTTATAGTTTCATCATCCTTCGCTTTCCCATCTTCTTTCACTTTTTTCATATTATTTTCTCTAAAATATGCATTACTGGATTTAAAATAAAACGAATGTTAAACATTAAATTTGAATTTTGGAAAGCAAATAACGTGGCTCAATAGATTTATTTTAAATGAATGTTTTAATATTAATTTCTTTTGGATTCTTGGGAAAAAAAACAAGCTCATCCAAGTCACCAATATCACTTTGAGATTATAATTATTTTGACATGTATGAATACCCACATCATCCTTTGCTCGGGAAAGAAAAACATTCTCTCAGTGAACTTTCGTGCTCTATAGTCTGCTTTGTTACAACACACTTTGAAAAATTATGAACTTTGAAAACAATTTTCAAAGTGCGTTAAATTTAGGACCAAGTTAATAAACTTTGAAAAAGGCTTGGTCAATATTCTTGCAAATTTAAGGTATGAAAAGTAATTATTTGAACCTGGTTGGATAACTTTTCGGTGACGACATCAGTTCAGGATCTGATACTTCTGCTCAGGTCAATGGTTTCTGATCCACTCCACATAAACCCCTGACCGAAGAGACTAAGTTTGACGATGTTTACTATTGCGCCGTCAAGTGAGATTACACATTTTGAACTTTACGTTTCTCTGCTATTGACAATTCAGAGTAAGCAAATTAAATAGGGAATGCAAGACAATATTTGAAGTCGGTAATTCAACTAAATTCAAATAATAGATTCAACTAAAATGCGACGATTAACCTCTGAGTAATTTAATGGTAATGGCGTTTTCGTTGGGACTGAAACTGGCGTGTTTTTTTCTGTCACGTTCTAGTTTCAGGTTTAAACAATGTTTTGATTGGCTCATGCAAACTTGCATAAGACCAATCAGAGAGCGCATTTCTACATGTAACCGTGTCATTCTTAGTCTTTTCGGTCAAGCGTTTCTGTGGAGCGGAGTGGGTTAGAAACCCTTGACCTGGAAAAATGGATATAGACGTTAGGAGATTTTAGGGGTTGTCTTATTTCCAAAGGTTCTTGTCAATGTTACAAAAAGGGAAATGTTTTTTTAATACATAATGGACAAATATGTGTAATGTTTACAGAAAGATTATCAGATATGGTGACAGATGGTCATCTGACGACAATTTAGCAAAAAGGTCATTAATCATTTGATTTTTATGACAAACAACATTAATAATGGAATTTCAATTTTAAAAGAACTAAAATTCAATGTACTAAGGACTTCCCTAAACTTTTTACTGTATTTAGAATTTTTTTTTTTAGTTTTTTCCCAAACATTTGCCCTTGGGGGTACGAAAAATGCGATAAAATTGGGTCCAAATGTGTATGCTCATTGAAAATAATTTTTCCGCACAATAAGATGTTCTTTTTGTAGTTACTTGATAATTAGAAGTATGAAAAATTGTTTATTCCCGCAAATATGATGGCCTTTATTACTGTTATTTGATTTGTATTAAGTGGTATGAAAAAATTATATATGCATTTTTTTAAAAAAAAATTTAATCCATTTTTTTTATTTGTATTGTATTTCATTTTGTAAAAAAGCTACTTTGGCCATAGCCATTGGCTATTAGTGTTTACATCAGCGATATGGCCCCTGAGCCTCTCTTCTTTAATTTTTTTTTTCAGGAAAACTTATCTCAAGTTTTTCATCTATATTTGCGCTAACTCAAATTTATTAAGAGAAAGTATATTAATGTCATACCAGTTATGTATATACATAATTGGGAAGGAAAGATAAAAATTGGGCTGAGGGACCTTCTACCTGTCTTCTCCTCGTTCTCGATGAGGGTAGATCAATTCACCAGTTTTTCAAAAGAAATATATCAAAATAATGCTCTTACTAAAATCTAGGTCCAGATTTTTTTGTTCTAAAGACTTTTTTCAAAGTGCGTTAAGTGTCTCGATGGTAAAAAAAAAGTTGATGTACACTCTTAACGAACTTGGAATTTTTTTTTCAACGTGCGTTGATTTTGTCCCAATTTTTACGCACTTTGTTCAAAGTGCGTAATTTTTTCAAAGTGCATTGCCACACTAGTTCGTCTTGAATTAATTCTGTTTAGAAATGACCAGTTTCAACACTTAATGTATATGTACATGTACACTTTCTCCTTATATAAGATTTTTTTAAGATTCCCCTCGTACAGTGTAGCCTTTTTGGCTTTATACGTATATTAAATCAAATTCTGGATTAAATTCTTTGAAAAAAGTCTCAATTTCTATGTACAACGATAGATACATCGCAGCCGAGGCTAGATTTTGTTTTCAATTTGTAAACTATGTATACATGTTTGGCCAATTTTAAAATAAATGTTTATGAGGTATCATAATAAAGTATTTATTGTAATGTCACATCCCTCTGTTAATCACGTGACGGACACATAATTTTTACAAAATTTCACAAAATTCGTATCGGTACAAGCGGTTTACAAAATTACTTTTAATGATTTATTCGAGTCAATCAATCGTTTTATATATAAAGTGCTAGGGGCAAGTCTGAATTTTACTTGTAAAGTATGTTTATGAGAACTTCAACTTACCCACACACATGAGGGTATTTTCCACTTTATCGCACTTTATACAAAACATTCTACGTTACATACAATCCCTCATCAAGATTAAATAAGAGAACATACTTTTCGTATAGATTCATATGGATTTATGTCGCTCAATTGATCAGATACGCAAGATCATGCTCGACGTATGAACAATTTATGAAAACAATTTGATGAAACAAGGATATCAAACGGTCTCATTTGAAGTCATTATTTCACATATAACACAGGACAAAGGAATAACGATATTATATTGCAATATTACACTACACAACAGCATACTGAAGCTTATAACAACAATCCAGACATCTAAATTACATGTAACATGTGAGATCAATAACAAATATTTTTATATGTCATATGAAAGAAATGTTAAAGTTATGACACTTTCTCTGTCATGTCAGTTGGTTTGCAGTAACATGGCGTCATACGCTTTCATGACTTCATATGCAGATAGTTCAGAGAAGTTACTACAGCTGGAATACTGTGATATATTACTGACAGCTTTACACTTATCGCATTTACCTTTCTCCCATTCTGGACTTATGATTTAAATGAATTCACATTAAATCACTATATGTACCACTAGAGGTGGGCTTCAAATTCATCGTGTCAATGACACAGTGACGCAAAACGGGAAAATTTAAGAAAATAGAATTTTTACATGAACCATGCAAACTTTTTAAATTATTCAATATATTACGTATTTAAACAAGAAACCCATGGGCCACATCACTCACCTGAGCACATTTGCTAGGAAGAAGCACAAATCAATTCAGTATTGAAAAGTTTTAAGGGGGGGGGGGGGTAACCTTAAATTTATACTACCTCAGGATGCTTCTATATCAGTATTACTACGCATGTGAGTTAAGGCTAGGTATAGGCGTTTCTATGCAAATGAGAAAATAAAAACGCAGAAGAGGTATATTTATTATTCAGAGAAAGAGTTGATTCATTTTCTTGTGCATACTTAGTTCACACGATATTTTATAGCCAGTACACATTATGACGTCATATTATGACGTCACTGATCTTACCTACTGGAGGTATTAAAACACATCAACAAAACAGCTTCGGCGCAAGGGATTACCCTATTTATTTTTCCATAAAAATTGTATAATGCTAAGAAGAATATTCTATCGATTAATAAAACTACTGCACAAATACAAAGCATTTTCTCATTTGATCGGAATTTTAGGAAACTTATACCGGATTGTACATTTTTACCCTTATTCAACTTAAAACTTTACAAATAGAAATTATACAACTGCGCTCTCGATATTTGTGCAACAATACCAGCAAACTTTGGACTATTTTGCTTCTAAATACACCTTGTTTCAGTCAAATAAAATGGAGCATGCCCTTGCGCCGAAGCGTTTTTGTTGATATCCATTATAATCTTGTGCAGTATAGAACAATGACGTCATAATATGAGATCATAATTTGTCAAGGTACTAGCTATCTCATGTCGTGGGTACCAAGTTTGTATAAGACAATAAGTTTGAACTTTCTCTGTATAATAGATATAGTCCTAAGGCATTTTAATTAGATTATTTGCATATAAATGCCTATACCTAGCCTTAAATCACCTGCGTATTCATGGCTTTGCTGTTCTTAAACAAAAGAATTTCAAAGATTTTTTCTTTGTATTCCTGTGTAAAACTCATTGTAGCCCCACCCCACCCACCGTAAATTTTGAACACATTTGAATCTACACTACCTGAGGAAGCTTCTATAATAATATGACTAATCATGGCTTTGCTATTCTTGACCAGAAGATTTTTTCAAGATGATTCCTATATAGTCTTATGCAAAACTTTGACCCTCTGTTGTGCCCCCAACCCCTGGCGGTCATAATTTGAACAAACTTGATTCTACAATACCTAAGGTTGCTTCTGTATAAATATGACTAATAATGGCTTAGTTTTTCTTGAGAAGAAGATTTCAAAGATATTTCCTACTTGGCGTGTATGATCAGGATCTTACAAGGGATATCTTGGTTTCCTTTTACTCTGTCTGAGTTAATGATTGGAATCATTATTAAGAAAGCTCTTTCTGAGGGTGTATCACACAGTACTTAAATTTTCTCTTATCTAGAGATGGGGACTGGGTAACGCACTACTTGCACCGTGTTTCTCCCCTATGTTCCCATTGATAGATAAGAACTAGTTGTCTCAATCATTTTAAGATTACTACACCCAGAGCTTAACATCAATTCTCTATGATACTTGCCACTGGTGTTTATAACTTTCATACTTTTATTTTGTTCTTACCCTTAAGGTTTTGCATCCTCTATTCTTAAATATCCATCACATACATAATACTCTGATAGTTATTTAAAGCATTTTACAATAGAAAAGAATTTACCAAGAAAAAGTTTTAAAAATGTAATTAGCTAAGCAGTAAGTACTTAAAAAGATTGCAATGAGGTCTATGAAACATTTTTTTTAAAATAAAATTTCAAATGATAAGAATATCAATGAATACTGTAGTGGAAAAATGCACTAAAATACATTAGAAATAGAATGACAATTGAAAATGATTTTCTACAGATAAGTGTTTTTTAAATTGATTGTTTTATTAATTAAAAACAGAGGGAGATAACTTTTACCAAAATTCAAGGTCATAAATTAGGACACATCCCACCCTTGCATGCTAGTAGTAATAAATGGGAATTATTTCTAAATAAACTGAGTATTCAACACCTACACATCTCTTATGTATTCAATTTCCTTGAATCTTTTGCTATTATGATGGCGTACCTTTACTTTTTTATTGCTGATTCATCATCCAACTTCTTCAGCTACCTTCTGAATGCCTAAATTTCCCTTCCCAAAGCTTTGCCTAATATACCCTTAGACTACCCTTAGTCCATTCCAAGGGTTGTCAGGTCATTCCACTACTTGAAGTCTTCAACGCGTTTTACTCAAATGACCCTTAACCATGACACCCATAAATTCCTTTGTAAACTTTGACCCACTGTTGTTGCCCCGCCCCACTCCAAGGGGTCATGATTTGAACAAACTTGAATCTTCACTACCTGGGGATACTTCTGTATTTATATGACTAATAATGGCTTAGCTGTTCTTGAGAAGAAGATTTTAAAGATATTTCCTATATATTCCTTTGGTAAACTTTTAACCCGCCCCTGTTGTGGCCCTGACCTACCCCTTTGGGTCATGATTGGAACAAACTTGAATGTACACTACCTGAGGATACTTTTATTATAATATGTCTAATCATGGCTTTGCTGTTCTCGAGAAGAAGATTTTTAAAGACATGTCCTATATATTCCTATGTAAAACTTCGACCCCCTCTTGTGCCCCGCCCTATTCCTTTGGGTTGTGATACGAACAAACTTGAATCTAGAATATGTAATGAAGCTTTCACATAAGTTTCATCTTGTCTTACCCAGTGGTTCTTGAGAAGAAGATTTTTAAAAGATGCTACCAGATTTTTACATATTCTTAATCATCTACCCTTGAAAGAGGGCATGGCACTTCCTGTGAACAAACTTAAATCCCCTTCATCCAAGAATGCTTTGTGGCAAGTTTGGTTGAAATTGGCCCAGTGATTTTTGAGAAGTCGAAAATGTGAAAAGTTTACAGACGACAGAGGACAGACGGACGCCGGACATTCTTTGGTCAGAAAAGCTCACTTGAGCCTTTGGCTTAAGTGAGCTCAAAACTACAGGTTTCAGAAGCTAAACAATTTTTTATTTGATGGAGAAAAAATATAGTCTGGTCCAGGATAAAATATTGCTACAGTTCGTCCTCCTCTTGTAAGAACACACAAACAAAATAACACAGTCCACGGTCGCAAGAAGTGGAATATTGATAAAACAAGGATTTGATTAAATTTTCGAAAAATATAATCAAAACAAATTTGTCTTTGAATGCTCTTATTCGATGTTGCGCGAACTTTACGCTAAAAGTAAAAGCCATGGCGTGGCATGGACGATAACAACGATCTAGTAGATACCTTTGTTTTTCAAGCACTTATATTTTGTACTGTTGGACAATTGAGTTCGACAAAACGTCACTTCACTCATATTAAAAAAAAATCTTTCGATTCATGATATAGATATCATAAAGGAAATGAACGTTTTGATTCTCTTTAAGTAACTAAATAAGTAACTTCACACTATGTTCCAAGTGCTGCGCTCTGACAGTTGAACTCTTTACTAAACATAATTAATTTTTAATTAGATATGTCAAAAAGGTAACAAAGTTTGAGACAGAAATTAGTGACATTTTTAATTTTCAATTTACAAATTATTTTATTTATATCTTAATTATCTGTTTCGTATCAAATCTGAAAAAAAAAATACTTGACGTTCTTTATGCAACACAAGAACTGAAGTCTTCAAATATGTTATTATATTTAAGGAATCAGTGTCTAGGTAGTAGAGTAGCACGAGAATTACATGCATATTAGGCCTCCTTAGAGTCAGACACAAAACAGTCGCACAAGAATTACATGCATATTAGGCCTTCTTAGCTCCTGACCTTTCGCTTGGCGAAATTTGCATTCCGGTGGAATGATAAAAAAATCAACTCTCCTAACTTTCAAATAGTTATCACAGAGAAAAAAAAAATAGAAATGGAAATATTGTCTCTATAATTACCTTTTTAAATCTAAATTGGTGTGCAAAATCTCTGACATAGTCTTATATATTACAGCAACATAAGCTATATCTGTAAATCAGAAAAAGATAAGTTTAATGAATGTATTTACATAAGCATTCTATGAAATAAGGGGCATGAGCAGACTTTATCTTTAAAATCACTGGTGAAATTACCTTTGTCAGATATATGTGCTTGTACTGGCAATTCGAGAAAGGTAGAATATTCATCGACAGAGCTGGAAGTATCGTTTGAAGAGACATATGGAAAAATTATCCCTGATTTATCTATATTCGTTCGGTCAACGGTCACCTCTTCAAAAAAGGCAGGAAATATGAATTATGCATGTCTATTCAAACAGATATGTCTTTAATTCTTGCAAGAATATAAACACATGTATAAGTAAACCTTACCAAAATTTATGCCAGTGAAGTTTGTTGATGTTATGTTGTTATTTTTCATGATGACTTCACTAAGTCTATCCATATTCTTTAATATCAAGCTGCCATCCTTCTCCGTCTGGATAAATCAAGCAAAGGATAATTCTAATTCCAGAGTAAAGCATGTATGAATAGTAAACTGCATTGGAGACGCGCATCAAATTCATTATAATTTACAGAAACCTTCGATTTCATGTTTTCAGCAGTACCTTTTCTTGAACAGTTGTCCAGGATTTCGCATTATTGGTAGATAAAACATTGTCAACAACTTCAAAAAACGCCTGAAAGTTACAAGCAATTGCAAGATGCATGATTCTTTGCCATTTTGATATTTTATTTTCTTTATAAAGACCAAGAGCACTTTACAGCAAGATATAAATCTGAATATTCTGTAGCAATTTCAGTACCTGGTTATAAGAATAACAACATAGAAGATCATGAACTTATTTGATTTACCTCTTTTTCTATGTTAACACTCGTTAAATTTGTAACGTTGACAATCTTCTCCAAGATATCTAGAGAAGAGCTGATATCTCCGGCACTCAGTACATCTGCCTCCGATGTTAGGTTTTTCATTATCATTAAAGTGTTGTCAACTGTTTTCTGTATTTCTTCTGTGTTATTAACCCCGTCTTCTAACAAAATGTCGAGCTGGTAAAGAGGAAATTGTAATAATTATTGTTCCTTCTCTTTTTTAAAGCAATTAATCCTATTAATCTTTTACTTGTGAAACTTATTTCCGTATTTTCGAAAAATGTAGAATAAAATCCTTTTATTTGTTTTCATTTGAATATGATTATCAATCGTTTGTGCATATATATGCATTCTTGGTCTCTAATAAAGAATAAAGCCTCCTGATTAAATTATGGCATTGGATATAATAAATATGTACATATTGAAATTTTAAAATTTTAATCTTTTTTTGCAATGCGGACAACCCAATCTAAGAATAGGAAAGTTTATTAAAAAAATTATTGCTTATCTTCATTTTAGGCAAAGCGTTCATAATCATAAGTGAAATAATTTTATACTTATCAAATAGTTTGGGCATAATTAGACAGGATAGGAGGTTGGGTATATCTCGAAAAAAATAACATGTTCACAAATTTAATAAAAATGCTTATTTATTCAAATAATCTTCAATTTCATATTCACACACCAAAGGACGTACCTCTTTGGAAGCGTTCACAAACACCACATTAGTACAATTAATCAGATTAGGGATTTCCCATAAACCTTGAGTATCACAATATCTGGTTGCTGTTCCTTGAAATTGTAATCAAACAAATTTCTATTTTCGAAGTGGGTTTTTTTTTTTTCATATCTTTAGAAAAAAATTCAAAAATCGAACAAGTAAATACCTATATTTTTTACTTATTATTATAACTTTCATAATTCATCTTTTTTTTTTTAAAAAAAAAAAAGAAAGATCTTTTATCCCCTTTCAAATTGCTTTTCGTAAATCAATATTTTTTTATTCATTGATCCATGTATAAAACATATTAATTATGGAAAGAAATATGAAAGATTACCTTTTTGATTTTTGGGACAGGATTCTTCTTTAGTTGTTCCTGCTATTGTTGCATTCCATGTTATTCTTTCAAATATCTCATTTGGACATCTTTTTTGATCTATGTAATTTAAGGTCAATTATGTAACCACAAGAGAAGTGTTTTTATTTCATGAAAAACGCTTCAACAAAAGATGCATTGCTGAATATATCATTCGCAGCTATACACAAAGTATTGACACACCTGGTTTTGTTACCATTACACTGATGGAAACATTTGTTGGATCAGGATAAGAAGAATGCAGGCAGAAATAACTTCCAGAATCACCAAGTCGTCTTGATGTCTTCCTCAGTGTCGTCGATAGATTAGTTGTACTTATATAAATGTCCAAATCTATATTTAAATGTGTCAGTGTGATAAGCATATTGCACAGAAAACTGATTTTGTCTCTAATGATGATGGAAAATTTTTAGAGCTAGCGGGAATAGTCTTTAGATAATCACAGGATGAAATTACACTTTCAGTCCACGGAATAGTAAGAGAATAAATAAATAAATATTTGAATGTTATTGAACAGACACTGAAAGGAGTTTGCCAGTGACATTTCAGTGACCATTAAGTCTACTAATCTGCAGATGCATTCAAGTGGACTTTCGGTTATTTCTATTTATTTGATAAGCTGCTTAACTTTTTCCCTAAGAATTGTTTTTTGTTTTCCCATTATAATGGTATGGGTATTTATTTGGCAATAAAAATATATCTTCATAAAAGTGAAATTAAAATCTAGAATATCACAATAATTAGTAATATTGTTCAGAGGTCTGGTAGAACATATCCATCACAAAACGGCGACATACACTGTATTCCAAAATTATATAATACATGATTGGAATTTTATCAATAGATTTATAGTAATCTAATAAGGCCGCCAGATGCGCCTGTTATCTGTCTAGGGTTTGGCGATGTGCATATACATGCATCATGTATATCATTTGTATATTGTATGTTAATTTCGGGACAGATTGATCATTACACACTTTTTAGTAGAATAATGACAATTATCGGCGATGGGTACATTCTTCGTGTGTGTGTGTGTGTGTGAGAGAGAGAGGGTGTGTGAGAGGGTGTGTGTGTGTGTGATTCCACAAAAATTTTCACCTTAGAGAATGTTTCAATTCTTCGAATACTAACTTATAAGATAGACAGTGAATAATGTGGAAAATAATTGCATGCCTACAATTGGAGCTGTAAAACCTTGAGAAGGAAAGAAATTGTAACCTCCTTTTCACGTATAATCTCATTCATATCCTAGGATATTTTTGTTTATTTGATTGTTTTTTATTCATTTATATTTTTTAAATTAAATTTATCACCAATCTATAGCAATTTAAGGCAAAGAAGCTAAAGCAAAATATCTATGAATTAAACTCTGAAACAAATATTAATAATTGAATTTTAATAATATTATATTCTTTTGATTTTAACTCATTTGCAGGGCAGCAAATCAGAAACTGTAAAAATTATTTTGGTTTATTACTCCATTTATTTTAGTGTGCTCAATTGTAAGCTTTAACATGTCTATAAAAAGATTTATACTTATACCTCACATAAACCAAATTATAAACAAAAAGCCTTGACTTTATAAATTTCTTCCTATATGTTATTTCCAGATAAAAATAACGGAAAACCCTTCAAAGATCTGAATTGTTTTACTCATGAAAAAGGTGAAAATAACCAACAATGATTGATCTAAAAACTAATCTACAAACAATACAAATCTGTAAACAGAGACACGGACCCCCGGATATTTCAGAGGTGGAATTAGATGCCTAGGACGAGTTAGCATTCCCTGTTGACTGGTTACATCCGCCATGAGCCCTATGTTTTGATCAGATAGACGGAACATTCCGTATATAGTCATATTTAGTAGAAAAACTAGAGTGAAACGCATCTGTCGCTTGCTTTGTAGCTTCATTAAAGGTGTAAATAAATGTAAAAGTGGTCAGCTTTTTATTTACTATAAGCATGATAGACTGATAGTTCATGCATTTGCCTGCAAAGAAAAATTGGCATCCATGGACGGTACAACTTTTAAGACTGCAATGGAATCTGACAATCAAAGAAAATATGTTTCCATTACCCTCAAATGAATAATTAAATTGAAATTATTAGAAATAACTATTTGTCATTTTATTAATATGTGTTTCCATCAATTCTCCAAAAGAGATGTCAGTCTGTTTTTTACTGCAATTTTCAGTCTACACGATCCATTGTGGAATACCGATACCGATGTATTTTCATAGTATTTAAAAATAAGTTTTTGTGGTAACTGAATATCATACGGTTTCAAAGTACACTATCATGAGCTCATAAACATGCATAAATGCTAATTATTACTAATTATAATTTATTTTGCTGCTTTATTAATTATGTAATATTTTTTTCCTTTTTCTCTGTATACCCATTCCTCTGAACTATTTACGAAACTTCAGAGTGATCTATTGGACCTCCGGTCAATAGTTTGCGACTTTCGGACCGGCGATCTATTGGAACTGCAGTTCCCATATACACAGTATTATATTAAGTAATAAACCAATTATTTAATGTCTGATCAGTCAACAGCCCAGAATATTTTCCCTTGGTGCAGAGAACAGTTAAATGTGTTCTATTGCCCTCGGCCGTTGGCCATGTGTAATAGAACACATTGAGCTGTTCCCAGCACCCTGGGAAAAATATTCTGGTCTATTGACTGATCAGACATAAAATATCTGGATATTATTTAAACACTGCTTTTCAAAATTCAAAAGTCATAAGTTCATTTAAACTACCAAAAATATTTTTTTTTGCAAAGTACATGTAGGTCGAAGGTCAAGGTCAAGTGGATTGTAATGCTGGCATATTGTCTAATGACAAACAGCGCACATGCTAAAAAGCATAGACTTACCACTTAAATGTCAAAAATATGCTGTATATCGGCAATATAAACTATTTTGAAAAGTAGGTCGAAGATCAAGGTCAAAGGTTACGAAGTCGGTATCCATGGCAATTTACAAAAGCCATAGTGACAAGCAATATATGTTCAAATTATCAAAATTTAATCCATACCTCTTACAGTTCTTGAGATATAGGGTGTGACAGCTAGACAGACAGATAGACAGACGCCGGATAAAGTGATCCTTAGTGCCGCTCTGCTCTGCAGACGACAAAACAAAGGCTTAGCAATTAGTTAATTAAAGGTAACTAATTAAGGAATGAAAGACTAAATGAAAAATTCTCGAAAAGCTACTAAATAAAAACCTGAATGTCACTGAAAGATGGCCGAGAGGGCAAAAAAAAAAAGGGCCCACTAAAAGTAACTGAAAAATCTCCACTGATTGTGACTGAACGATAACTGAAAGTTCACTGAAATGTATCTGCATTAAATTTTCACTGAAACCGCATCTCGCATCTGACTGAAAGGTCTTATTTCTTAATGCAAATGAGTTTGGGTTATGATTTTAAAAAGCATGCACTGAATTTCGTTTTACTTTTTCAAACAATACCTGTTTCGATATTCCTCCCGTTTTTCTGCCAGATTAAACTTCCGTTCGTTGAATACTTTAGAGATTCAGGATTTATGACTGTACATAGAAGATTTATACTTTCGCCTATTTGAATTGAGAAGTCGTACTGGGGTGTCAACTGCAGCAAAAGTTTAGGAAGAACTAAATATAAAACATAAGTATCTGATTAATAATTTGAATTTCTTGAAAAATACATGTACTAGATATGGTACGCTTTTAATAATATTCTGATCAACAGATAACATTCCTAATCTTGTCATCACTTAATTTACCACAACATAATTAACTGAAAGAGTTACGATCAAACCTGATACATATTACCTTATAAAAGGTTCTTTATCCACAATGAGATGACAAGAAGCAATTTAAAATTAAAACTGTAAAAGTATGGTGGATTTATTCTTAACGACAAGTGTTACTGTAGTAAGTTTTTCAAATATTATATATCATACAAGAACAGCGCTTAAATTAAAACTCTTGGAGCTACACTTTAAACCTAGCTTCTACATATTGTGTCCTCACCCTTTATATGGATACTCTTATATGAGGTAGTTACACCATTTGATGCTTTAACTGTCCAATTTCATCTTCAAAATTGGATTCACACACGCACACATCCTCACACATACACACACACACACACACACAGAGAGAGAGAGAGAGAGAGAGAGAGAGAGAGAGAGACTTCTTATGAGTTACCTTCATCTCGTCGCAAAACATTGGATATCTTTAGTATAAAGAAAAATGAACCATTGGCTGCTATGATGGAATTTCTAACATATCTCAAAGAAGCACTAGTTATTCCGATTCCGTTGCGAAACCATTGTACATTGGGGATACTGTCGTCCGTTATCTCTACTTCAAACTTCAAAGGTTTTCCTTCACGCAATAATACACTGCTAGTTTTAAAGGAAAGAATTTCTAAGGATTCTGTAAAAGAAAAAAAAACCTGACAAATTGATTTTAAAAAAAATGTTAATTTATTTTTACAATAACTTCCAAACAACGTCAAAAGATGTTTTCAAATATGTAGACTTTTCTTCTAATATCCATAAAACGAGAGGAGTATTTTTCTCAAATTGCATATGATGCATAGGATAAATATGGATAAACAGTTATATATTATTTTATGAAAGGCATTACTTAATTCATATTTCATAATTTAGCTCAACACTGTATTTTTCAAGAAAGATATACGGCAGCTTCAATATAGCTTTCAAGAAAAATCATGCTATGTTCTATGGCAAAGATAGTGTCGTTGCAATCACTAAATTGCTCATGAATGCTATTACATAAGCTATAATATCTCATTTGAATAAATAAAACAACTTGTTTATTATCACTATTTATCTTTATGAATATAATTTGGCTTGAATATTTGAAAACCGATTTAAGGAAAAAAAAACTTTTGGTATGCTTTAAGATTAAGCAGTGCAAAACGACCGTTTTCATAACTATAAAAAAAATCTCACCTATCTCACAGTTGCTGTCTTTATAACCAAGCGAACAAACACATGTAGAATTCAAGCATCTACCTCCATTTTGACAAGGACATGGTTTCACTTTGTCTAAAGATAATCAAATACGAATTATTTATGTTTCATAAAGCCAGATAATTGAATGCCATTCATTTAATTTTTTTAAACAAATTTGATGACTTAAAAGTCAACAGAATGAAAGTCTTCATTAATACTATGAAATAGAAATCATTATGATAATATAGATTTTTATATCAATGACAGATTTGACGTGATAAGAACAGAAACCCACCTTCAACATAAAAAGCCAAAACAAAACCGCTGTAAGTAAAGCCAACGTCGCTCACAAACCGCACCATTGTTGTTGTATCATTTAATAAGATTCTTTCGGATGTCCGTAAAATATTTTTTTCCATATCTTCACAAAATTCTAAACAAAACATATTTTAAAATTAGTATATCGTTAGAAGAGATACAGTTTATAGAACTGATAACCCTTTTATGCCACAAGGGTACGAAGTTGAATCTTAACAAGATACATTTTAGTTAGTGTTTAAGGGTGGTGTTAATAAATTTCAAAAATCAAGATTCTAAAGAATTATATCATTTATCCGTATCCATCCATTCACCTTAATATTTTTTTCTGTAGTTTTTCCCTAAATTTTCTCAGAAGACATAGTTGTCATGAAGAGAGAAAAACTGTGAAACAGCTTCCATTTATATTAGAAGAAAGGGCTGTAAGATTATTTTATATTGCCAACAACTAAGCAAACGTTAACTGACAATTAGGAAGAACAATAAAATGAAAAATAATTCCCAGAATAAAAACACTATACTTTACATTTTACTTTTGGTGTTAAGCAGATGTCTGTAAAATTGTAAAAGACAGCACATATACTGACCACCTAGACCCTCTATCATTACGTAATCAGAGCAGCCGCTGGTGCCTTTGTCTAAATACTGAGACCGGAACTCAAAAACTAAACGAATGTCCATTTTCTCTTTAGCAGGTTTCACTGTCCATGAGCACTGCAAATTACTGAAGTTAACAAATAAAATTGAGGCAATGTTGAACATTTCTACTTTGAAATACTTGGAATTCTGTTTAAATAATATTTATACCTTTTATATTGCGATGGAAACCCTGGAGATGTGATGAATTTAGGTGTCGATTCTGCAAGTAGTGTCTCTTCATTAAGGCCACAGGTGTCGACTGTATATTAAAAGAAAGGAAAGGATTATGACAGCACCTCTGAAAAATGAGACATTTAATGGATCCCTATAAATGTATAAAAAAAATATTCACAGTGTTTGTTGGTTTTCCCTGATATTCACATCAATAAATTTCCATTAAGAAATTCGAAAAATCGCATAATTTATATATGTTTCTCCTTTTTTCAAACAGGAAGATTGTACTTTATGCAAATTTAAAATATGATCCGTTGAAATGTAAAGTAATTGGGCAAACCTTTCTTCTTTTCAACAGACATGAAACGAAACTGAAAGCCACCTTCCGTAGAGGGAGACGACGTTCTAAAGGTCAGAACAATTTCCGATGATCCAGTTTGTGTGATTGTGCTACAATATTGTTTCGGTCTGGGACAGCTGACACAACTATCGCTCTTTGTTAAATCTGATGGGTCTTTAAAAAGAACATTGATCAGAGATCTTAAGATCTTAATAACAAAAAACTTAGTTAATATTGTTCGCATGTAGAGAAAAGATAAATTCATGTATTTATTTTTGATGAAATTTTGCAACATAGAATATTTGTGCATTTACGGATCTTGTAGAATGAAGCGTTGAATAGTCCCTTGTTTGAATAATTGTAATCATTGCAATATAGGGATTCTAATTTCTGAACAATGATGCATATATCACGTGATAAAAAGAGTCTTCAGTGATTTGCAGCTTGATATAATTTTTATCCAATTTGTTGTGTTTTTCAGAACCCCTTGTCAAGAAGGCTAACATAACCACACATAACTCATCCAACCGCAAATCATCGGAGATCATATATATCTACTGATAAGAGACAGATCCCGTAGGTCGAGAGTTCAACCCCGGGTTGGGCAGAAGTGGGCATCTTTATAAAAGTGAATTCCTCTCTCTCTCTCTCAAATGTCAAAGCTAAGCTGCACTTTAATTTGTTGGACAAATTCCAAAATCATTTAAATTTTCCGTTTTATTTCCTGCCTTGAAGACATTTATGATTATTCTTCGTCTCATGTGACATATACTTCCTATTTTTTGCAATCAAGATCAATGAATTTAGTGGCTAGACAAGGACATATCACAGGCACTTGTTTCGGTAATATTTTTTTAACCCATATTATACTATGGGTTAAATAAAAATATTACCGAAACAAGTGCCTGTGGGACACATATAGTATGTTATTTTTTTTTTTATTTATTCATAGCCATGAAATTAAATCCTGAGCCATAAAATAAAAATTCCTACCCACAAAATACCTCGCCAAAAAAATGTGACCAGGAAGGAATTTTTTTTTAGTTTATTCATGTTAATGTACATGTAATGTAATGTATTCAGTGTAAACATAAAACGGTTTTGACACTCGGTTTGTTCTGTACGGGTTTGATGCGTTTAGTTTAGTGTTCGAAACTGTTTCACTCATATTGAGATGCCACCATTTGCCGGTGGAGGGCTGAAAATTTAGACCTGTACTCGGCATCTACGACCTTTGAGCAGTGAGGGATCTTTTTTGTGCCAGCACCTACTGCCACACGGAACCTCGGTTTACAAGGTCTCATCCTAGGGACCGCTTTCCACATCTCGCAGTGGGGTTTGAACCCGCAACGTAAGGATAATCTCCTTCCTCCGCGACTCTAGAGCGAACGCTGTAGATAATAACCACTGCGCCACCCGGCGAAGTCTAGCTACACATGTAGATTCTGACCACCTAGACCATCTATCATTATGAAATCAGAGCAGCCTTTGGTTTAGGAAAAAATCTTTATCCTCAAAATAACCTGCTGCACCGGAAGGGGACTGTATGAATAATAAAAATATTTGATGCATGTAAATGCTGATACAAAATCAGAGTTATACCCCCCAAAAATACTAAATCGATCAGGGCCATTGATGCAGTAATTTTTTTCAGTACTATTTATTTAATTTTCAATTTTTTTGGTCCAATATTTTACTTTCATGAATTTAAAAAATGCAAGGTATTTCATATACATGTATTATTCAGTGTATTTTCTTAATCTGTAATGCTCTTTATCAAACAAGGCTCTTAATAAAATAGAATTGACTTATCTCTCTCAAACCTTACAGGGATCTGTATAACGCATCATAGTCTGGTCCGATTTATAGAAAAAAATACTTCTAACGGCAAATAATTATTATTTGGTCCAGCATAGTTTTTTAACCTATTTCGAGTATGCTGAATCCGAAAAATATGCTGGCCTTCATGAAAATGGTGCTAAAAAGGTCAAAATGGCGATCCAAAATGGCGGACATGCAATTTTTCTAATTTTTTTTTTCTAAATTTCGTTCAAATAGGAGAAAGAATGTGTGAATATCTCACAGAGTGTAATGCAACTATAAATATGATAAAGGAATGCTAAAATTATTGTTTTAATTCAAAAAAGATTTCGTGTTTCTACACTTAATTCGAATTTTCTCTGATTTATTTGTCTATTGCTTCTATATTCTGCTTTGTTCAGAATTTTACATTTGCAAATATTCATACACTGCAGATTGGTTTTTTTCCCCTTTGCATCTCACTATTCTACAACTTAATGATGGTACAGCTTTAAGTTATAATTTGAATTTTGGAAAAATCTCTGCAATGGCCCATTCATAAGTTTGCAGCAAACAACCAAGAACATCCATTCCATCTCATTGGACTTAGTAATGTGAGGTTACCACTACATCTGCCTATCTTTATATCATGTACTGCCTGGCATTGTGCTCGGTTTACATGTATATAAAAAGAATGGGAAGTGTAATTTCTAAATTATTTTTGATGCGCGTTAGTGGACACTGTGTATTTGTTACGCAACTTAAAGACAATTTTTTTTTTGGGGGGGGGGGGGTATCAGTTAATTTTCCTTCTCCTCAACCTTCTAGTGATATGTACTACAATGAGTGAATTGTATTAAATATATTTTTCTGAAGCTCTGGAAAAGACAGATTTATCGCCAAAACAATTCAATTTAAAGGAATAATTGCAGGCTTTCGAAAGGTTCCACTTGCATTCTACAGGTGTCTATTTCTGGAAAGAAGGAGCAATGACACGTCCATATATGATATGCTAGTATGAGAACAGCTAGAGGTGCAAGAGGGCACTCAAGAACAGTACTTGAGCACTGCTTGAAGAACTACAGACTGCTTCTTCACTCGGCGCAGAATGCTTTATGCAATATCATTCTCGCATTTCACTCAATCTTCAACCATCCACTCACCCCTTCCCCCTCCCTCCCTCCCTTATACATAGCGAGCAGTAACAATGTTTTCATAATGGGTGGTGGAAGGAGACAGGGTAATATGTTTTTCCCAAGGTATAGCAATAGCAAAGTTAATAGGAGGAGGAATTTCTCTTGGTGTCCTTTTGTTCTGAGTTTTGCTGATTATATTGATTAGTCCATTTAATGATCAAACAAAAAATAATACTAGAAATGTTTCTCTTTTTTCTGGAAATAGTTAAAACAAACTCGACTTGTTTTCCTCATATTTGACCGTGTTCCAAAGCTCTGAACCCCTGGCCACCTAAAATCACTGCTGAATCGCTGTCATTATCAACTCGCACTTCCACTTCAACATCCCACAGCACACCATCAAATATAACTGAAGAAATTCTTGCCCGACTTCATTGAGCCTTTTGCACTAGCTTTTGAAATTAGCACTTGTAAGAGCTTAGTATTTTCCCCCAACATCCTCTATTCCAGCTATAAATGCGATATGTTCAGTCTGTCTTCGGAATTTTGGCCTTCTCAACAGCCCAAGGAACAACACATTTATGTTCAAATGTTAAAAGACTATTTTGTTTTCCAAAACCTTATGCAAAATGGAAAAAAAATCTCTGACAAGACATGTAGCTTTCTCTTTTGTGACCATACAGATTTGTTGTCTTTTTTGGGGTAGAAAGGTCATTCTATTAGCAAGAAAATTCTCAAACTTTATCATCTGGAATCACATTGTGTGCATTTTTTGTTGAGAAAAGTTGTATAATTGTGCGATCTAAGAGCACCTGCAGATTCCTTGTGATTTCTATCACGTACAAGCTTTCATACCAATAGGCCGAAGCCATTCTTGACTTTGATTTAGTCAATACTTCTCTTGACAACAAAATTTTCTTGATCACTCCAAGAACTTTACAAGGCAACTTGATCCACACTACTTTTTTAGGATAGTGTATGGTTCTATCAAGAATCGAGGTGGAGGGATTAAACACAAACATTTTCCTCTTTCCGATTTTGTAAATTTCAAAACAGTAGGCACCGAATTCCATCCGAGTATGACAAAAAAGTATGTTTGGATTATCGAATTTGATCATATACAATATTCCTTTAAAAAAGGAATTTTGTAGTCGCGTAAATTTAAATCTAACAATACAAGATTATCTGTTCACAACATTAAATATTTGTGAATATAGTTGATTTTTGTTGGCTATGAAAAACAAAATGCAAATGTAGTGACGCGGAATCATAGCTAGACAATCAAGAATATTTATGGTTTACGTATATTATACTGGTTCTGATAATTCTTAATAAATATGTTGATATATAGTATATTACATTCAAATTTATATGATTTAATAATTCTTAGCTCTCTGATTGGTTGTGGTCCATCATTTTAAAAATCATATACTAAGTTATGTTGCACTTAGTCTAGATCTTCCACATGAACATAAACATTTATTTTTGTCTACACTGTATGGACTAAAAGTAGATCAAAAATTTCCAACAACTGGGATAATTTAGCAACCCTCGAACTACAATGTTCACTCGCCTTTGGACTCAGGAAATACTGCTCTTGGGGTAGCTTAACTGTCATATTGTCCTCCAAACAGCAATTATTGTGTGATATTATTAATTTTTTTATATCAAGAAGCATGGTTTTATAGGTAATAGGTAAAAGTTCTTCATAGATGTAGTCAAAAGCTTATCTTAATAATAGAAGTCATAAAACAAAGATCAGTGTCATAAAAATTATAAGTCAATAAAACAATATCCTCAAAGTTTTACTGAATATTTAAACATTATTTTATCAATTTAAAAATGCAAGCTGTTATTAATTTCCTTTTATTTTCTGCAAAACGACTCATAATTAAGCAGTTTGAGTATTTTGTGTAATTCTAGGGTTCGCCATTCTGAATCGTCATTTTGAGCTAATTAACACAGCTTTCAAATTTAAACGACTAAATTTTCCAAATTAAATTGATAATATTAGTGTTCTATTATTTTTTTCATAATTGCATTACGCTCAATAAGATTTTAACACATCTGTTCTTCTATTTGAACGACATTAAGAAAATAATTAGAAAAAATGGATATCCACCATTTTGAATCGCCATTTTGACTTATAAATTACAGCTGCACCATTATTCAGTTGTAGAATAGTGAGATGCGGAGGAAAAAATACCAACCTGCAGTGTGTGGACATTTGCAAATGTAAAATTCTGAACAAAGCAAATTACGGTATAGAAACAAAAGACAAACAAGTCAGAGAAAATTCGAATTAAGTGTAGAAACGACAAAATTTTCTGAATTAAAGTAATAATGTTAGCATTCTTTCATCATTTTTATAGTTGCATTACACTCTGTGAGATATTCACACATTCTTTCTCCTATTTGAACGACATTAAAAGAAAATTAGAAAATTGCATGTCCGCCATTTTGAATCGCCATTTTGACCTTTTTAACACCATTTTCATGAAGGCCAGCGTATTTTTTCGGATTCAGCATACTCGAAATAGGTTAAAAAACTATGCTGGACCAAATAATAATTATTTGCCGTTAAAACTTCTTTCTAGCCTTCTTTTTAAAAATCAGGACCAGACTATCATGTCAAATGATGTCATCATTTGATATTGGGAATAAGATGTAGTTAAAAATTCAAGGTTTAGTATATTACCATAATATAGACTGAAATATACATTTGCGTCGCACTCCCATTTCGAATAAAACACAATCTCATATCCCGCAACTGTGCTGATTTTCCAGGAGCAGTTCAAGTTACTGAAACATATTACTACAATCTATACTTTGTGCAGCGAAGGAAAATCAGTTATAAATATAAGGAATATAAATACATGCAAAATAATACAACTTGTAAAAAAATCAACAGTTTTGAATGCACTTATTGTTTTTGAAAAATATTATTTCTCACCCTTGATATCCTTTCACCACTGGATAATTTTCTGGATAAGCAACCTTTTCCCCAATATAAGATTGCAGAAATATTTGTTGAAGGTCCTTACAAGCATGTATTGTCGATACTGTAAAAAAAATAATTTCAAATCCATATACTTCACAATCATACTTGTAGAAATGTCTTTGCTCCTCAACAGCGGGAGATAGTGATGAGGATCGCAGGGATAATTGTCCTTTTTAGTTCAAAGTATCTCAGCTAGGTACTGAATAGGAAACAATTCTAAAAAAATATCCGGTGAGTAAACTACAGTTTACAGCTGTAAACTGTGAACCACCATTGTATTCTCTCATGTTTACTACGATAAACTAGAGTAAGGCAGAGCTCCATATCTTTTTTACTGAGTTATTGAAAGTAGATAAAATAAGTCCTGCATCTGAATATCTAGTGAAAATAATGTCTATAAACATACATACATGTAAAGGTATTACGTAGAACAACGTAATGCAAAGACTTAATTTCGATCTTTTTCTATTCGGAATTTTTCTATTCGATTTTTTTTTTTTTTTTTTTTTTTTTTTTTTGGCGAGTGAAGTCAACACGCGGTGCGTAGATAAAACACACCGTAATACTCTGATTCTGGCTAAATAGTTCATGAGTAGAAAGATCTATGTACTGAACAATCATGAAAAAAGCATGCAGGTTGTGTATTCTCTTTGACCTTGAATTTAGCGACATAAAACGTACATTGAATGGAGAAGGCGGATATTGGAATATTAATTACTGGAATTTCAATCTATATACTCCCAGAAGAATATTACTCATTATTCAATTTAATCTTCACCTTTGTAAATCTTTACTTTAAGTCCCTGCATTTATTCGGCTTACAAATCAGGGCTTAGGGCGTGCCTTGCACGTTACCTTATCTTACTAGAACTTTCTTGAATTTCTTGTAATGGGGAACGGTCCCACTTTTTTGCTCTACTCACAGTCCAGAAACCAGAGGAGTTTATGCATTAGAAAGGCGTCCTACTCATTCCGTCGATTTTTTTTATATGTCTGTCTTTATGTCCGCTAATCTTCCTACAGTTTGGCCCAATTTCAATAAGACTTGGAGTCCAATTAGACTATACATAGTTAAATAATTCTGTTTATCGGCTTTTGATTTCGACAAACGGAGTTATCATTGTTACTAAACAAATTTCTTTGAAAGTCTTTCAAAACGCGACTTTTAGTATTTGGTCTAAATTCGATAAGACTTAGTACACGAGTAGACTACACTTAGATACAAAATTCTGTGTATCGGTTTCTGATTTTGACAAAAAGTTTTGTCATGGGTTATAAAAGTAGTCTAGAAATTTCTTTAAAATTCTTTTTTAAACGCCGCTCGTTCTACAGTTTGCGTCCAATTTCAACAGGACTGTAATAGACTATAATAAGCTACATAATTCTGTATTTCGCTTTTGGACTTCGTAAAAAAAATGTGTTGTCATGATATTTCTTTGAAATTCCTTCAAAAGGCTACACCTTCCATAGTTTTTGGTTTAATTTCCATTTCTGTTTTGGTACAGAAGTAGACTACTAGTATACTACGATACATAATTCCGTGTATCGGTTTTTATGCTTATTAAAAAATAAAAGAAATCGATTTTTTTTTTAAAACGCTTCAGTTTTTGGCCTGATTAGACTTTTTACACCCGAAGATTATACCAAGATATTTCTTTCTTTATTTTAAGTACACATCAGTAGACTTCTGGTTAATTTTGATTCATGTGCGAGTAATAGTCGCGTCTCAGAATGTCAACAATAAATGGATGTAACAATTTGAATTTTACTTTCATTAATTTAAACACTCCTGCGTCACCTTAGTTAGTTTGATCAAACTGCTGTGGAGAGCCCCTGATTCCATTTTATATAGTAACAAAATATCATACATAGGTGTAGTAACCGGGAAAACAGTTGAGAGCAGACGTTGTCGTCAGCCCCCTCTTTTACTAACTGGGCCAACCCTTTTTCTTTCTCTATTTTAACTAATGCATGTTTTTATGTTAACTGGGAGTTGGATTAGACATATTAAGTTTTCCTTGCGTCCTTGCTTTCTTCGTTGTTAAAAATATTCAGTTTCAGCTTCCATGAAATTCATCGCACTTAAACAAAATGCCTGTATATGTGGGAAACATCTAGCAATGTGAGTGTGGGGTTACTAGGTCAGCCAAAACAATAAATAAAAATCCGTTGGCGTGTACAATCTACATCTACTTCTACCAATGAAGTTTATCGTTGACCTTTTTTAAAAAGTTTTTATACACTTGTATTGGTACATGTATAACTAATTAGTTTTCCTAAAAGTTTCAAACTTCCATTTTTAAATTCTATTATCAAAGCCAGTCATTTTCTAATGCCGTGCCAGTGAGGACTCCTGGAACATAGACCGGTGGATCCTGTAGTATACGAACCGAACACTTATCCTGTCTAGACAAGGAAGGATATAAATGTATGACATTACCAACAGTGTCTTTTCAATCAGTATCCCGTTTTCTATCCAGATCTAGCGTGATTGATTTTTGCTACTTCTTTAATGCCCTTTCAATGTTTACTTTTTTGTTGTCTTTGGTTTATGCGAGTTCAATCAGGGAGTGTCATACAACCTCACAATGGAGAACATGATAGACTTACATATTAATGCTTACCCTTCCTCGACGAAGCTTGCTCCTCTGCCAGAGTTCAATACGCAGTAGAAATTTTAATGGGATTAAATTTCACACCTTAATTGTTATGTAAGATTATGAAAGCTCTGAAGCTCCACAAAGTGAATAGTTACTTCACAGCAGACTGATTGACTTCCGTTAAGTAGATCGTAAGCATACCGATACTTTGTTTCACTTTGGCGAATACTTCCTGATTACTACTTGAAATTGTAACCAATTACAAAAAGACATGTTTGCATATGGAGAAATGATGTATGCTTTATTCATAAATTAATGATCAAGTGACCATTACTGATAAATATTCATTATTTTTGTGACATTTTTAATTATAATTATTTGAATTGAAAAAAGTTCTTATGAGAATTTAAAAAAAAACAATTTATCATAGTCTCAAAATTTTATGCAAGCAATCAAGTGTAGCATATTTCCCAAAACAACAGTATTTCCCCAGTTAGAGTCTCGTTCATTTTTTCTTAATTATGGCCTAAATGTGATTTTAAAGTGCAAAAGGAACCATCTGATCACTTTTAATTTGGCAACTGAAAGTACAACAATAGGATTTTCGCTTAAGATGAGGAAGAAAACTGTCAGAAAATTGTAAATATTTCTAAATTACTTTTTAAAAGGCGTCCTCGGGTCTTTCACAACATTTCATTATCTCAACGTAATCCGCTTCAGATTATTTAGCTCAAAAGAAACCACCAACTTTTCGTTATTTTGTAACACGATCCAGGACATAATAAAAGATACTACCAGGTGAGGAAGAAATTATTCCGAATTGTTGACATTTTTTACATCTTTTTTAAGGTTTTTCAAATTTAAATAAGAAATTAAAACATTTTCAATCCACAGGTAAATAATTATTGAAAGATTTTAAATCTTTTTCCGAATATTGTGTTTCTTTTTACCACTCTTAGGGTTTAATAATATGTACTAGTTAATATGAACAATTTTAGAAGTCACAAAAAGGTATTGTTTTCTTTTTTCACCTTTATCTCTGCATTTATTTAATAAATGAATTTCCAATGTCAAACCAACTGATACTATGTCGGATTTTAACTAAAGCCACTGCAGAATTTTATTGACTTAATTATAAGGACATTGGGTGGCATATTTTGAAGGGTGGGTTTGTATAGATCAATACTTACAAAATCACCACGAAATAGATTTGAACATTAACTTACCGTACAATGGAATAAACAGAACAGTAAGTAGTTTCTCCATAGCGCAATCCTCAATAAACTAAATAAGGAAGGATAAACACTTTTGTAAGTAGACAACGAATCATGCACTTGAAACATCGTCATCCTATAAAATCAAATAAACTCGGATGTGTAACAAATAGTATTAAGAATGTGTATATAAACATCTAGGTCACTATGTTGAAATTTTAAGGAAATATTTTTTTTCTGAATGGGATGCTTTTCCGGTGTAAAATATAATTTGTTAAACGAAAATAGATAATTATTGTATTTTGACACAGTATATATTGAATGAATGAAATATGGAGATAACAAACAGAAATCAAGCTCAAAAGTCCATCGAAACAATACAAATCGGGAGCAGAGCAGACACGAACCTCTAAACACCAGAGATGGGATCATGTGCCATGGAGGAGTAAGCAACCCCGGTCGGCCAACGGAAAAATAGTAGACAATTCAGTTTGTAAAAAAAATGGACTAACAATTAATATGACAAAGGTCAGTCAGGATTCTATCTAAAGACAGATTGTATTTGCTGACAAGGTCATTGTATCGACCATAGAACTTGCGAAATGTTGACTTCAAACGAGTCTGATGATATCCTTGTTTCATCAACTTGTTTGTCAATAGCTTGCCTCGTTTTAGAAATTGTTTGTACGTAGAACATGCTCTTGCGTATCGAATCAACTGGAAGACATGAACTCCATATACAGGTGATAAGAGTACATTACTTCATATATAAGGGAAGTTGACGATAGAAAAGTTGAAATCATTACGTTTATCATAAAGCTTTGTTGTTAGATTACCATTAACGTCTTTTTCTAGTAAAATATTTAAATATGAAACAGATGTGTCAGTCTCTGTGGTATCTTTTATTTCAAGTTTACTGGGATATATCGAGTCGACATATGAATAGAAGTAACTATTGTTAATTGATAAAATGTCGTCGATATATCTAAATGTCGTGTTGAAGGCCACAGAAAGTGCTTTCTTCTTCTCATGTAGAAGTTTTTAAATAAATCTGGTTCATATGAATATAAAAATAGGTCTACTAATAATGGGGTGCAATTAATACCCATGGGAATTCCGACAGAATGTTGGAAGACTTTATCTCCAAAAACTACTTAGAAATTGTCAATCAGAAACCCTAGCATCTTTTTAATATCAACTTCGTAGTATTTGTCTGTACAATCAGAATGTTTT